CCCAGAGCCCCAGCCCCGCCCCGGAGCACAGCCCAGCCCCGCCGCGCCCCAGCGCCGCCTGCTGCCCCCACCCGCCCGGGACCCCGCGTGGCCCGGCGCTCACGGGGCCCGTGGAAATGTCCAACGTCGTTTTTGGTTAAAATCGGAAGAAAAAACACAAAATAAGAAGGAATCTCTCTTGAGTTGTGTGCGTCTGTATACCGACGCAACCGTTAGCTGTCGTTTTAACGCTTTCCCACGGAGGAAGGCCCACTCGGGAGGCTGCGGCCGGAGGATCGCTTGAGCCCAGGAGGCGGAGGCTGCGGTGAGCCGGGACGGCACCACTGCTCTCCAGCCTGGCCGCCAGAGCAAGACTCCGTCTGAAACACGAATGCATTCGCCCAGCAAATGCGGCCTAGAGGAAGCCCTGGCCTGAGCCCTCCGATGGGGGTGAGATTTCCACGGGAGCCCCAGGGCGGGAGAAGAAGGCGCTCGGGAGACGCTGGCCCTGCGGCCGGGAAGAGCAGCTGAGAATACAGACCTGCGCAGCCACGACCGGCTCATATTTAAATTTTTTGTAGAGATGGGGCCTCCCTGTGTTGCCCAGGCTGGTCTCAAACTCCCTGGATGAAAATATCCTCCCGCCTTGGCCTCCCAAGGTGCTGGGATGACAGGTGTGAGCCACCTGCCGGGACTGGGCCGTGACCTTGAATGGGGAAAAACCCGATCTTTGTTCTCAAATGGCCTCCGATGTGACCGAATTCCTCTAAGTGATTCCAGTGTGGAATTAAGAAACAAGCCACAGTTGTAGTTGCCTGGCCTGTGACTTTGTCACCAACAGAAATGACAGGAACGGTGACATTGGGGCGGATACCACAGCACACTGCTGCTTGAAATGGTGAGCTCTCCCACTCCTAGATCTTACTCAATGAGTTTTGAAAACTCCTATGTTCTTTTTGCTTCTATACTGCATGGAATTGACTTCTTAAATTGTCCACTGCAAGTGTATAACATATCATCGAGTTTTTGGCTGGACCCAGCATAAATTATTAGGTCTATCAAAAGGTGGCATGAAGGACGGCTGTGGTGGCTCACACCTGTAATCCCAGTGCTTCGTGCGGCCAAGGTGGACGGATCACGTGAGGTCAGGGGTTTGAGACCAGCCTGGCCAACAACGTGAAACGGCGTGCCTACTAAAAATACAAAAATTGGGCCAGGCCTGTAATTCCAGCACTTTGGGTGGCCGAGGCCGAGGGATCACTTGAGGCTGGGAGTTTGAGACAAGCCTGATCAGCATGGTGAAATCCCATCTCTGAAAGATTAAAAAGAAAAAGAAAAATTAGCTGGGCGTGGTGGTGTTCACCTGTAGTCCCAGCTACTTAGGAGGCTGAGGCAGGAGAACCGCTTGAATACAGGAGGCAGAGGTTGCAGTGAGTGGAGATTGTGCCACTGCACTCCAGCCTGGCAAAAGAGCCAGACTCTATCTCAAAAAAATAAAAATAAAAATAAAGTAACTCTCTTGGCTGGGTGCTATGGGATGGCTCACGCCTATGCCCCCAGCAGTGTGGGAGGCAGAGGTGGGAGGATCACTTTGAGCCCAGGAGTTTGAGACCAGCCTGAGCAACATAGTAAGACCAGTCTCTACAAAAAATAAAAATTAAAAAAATTAGCCAGGCATGTTGTTGTGCGCCTGTATTTCCAGCTTACTGGGCGGCTGAGACGGGAATATTGCTTGAGCCCAGGAGGTCCAGGCGGGAGCGAGCTGTGATCACACCACTGCACTAGCCTGGACAACAGTAGAACTTGTCTAAAAACAAAGCAAAACAAAATGGAAAAGAGCCCTTATAACTCAGCAAGAAAAGTCCACCCAGTTCACGGCCTTGTGTAACAACTAACCCCTTGAGTGTGGACTGCAGCTGGTGACTCACTTCTGTCACGGCCAAAGAGATGGGGTGTCACTTTTTTTTTTTTTT